TTTTCGTTTTTGTCAGTTTCTCGCATTTGCAGATGATTTGAAGCTTTTTAAAGTAATAAAATCACTTCTAGAGTGTCAATTGCTGCAGGAGGACCCTAACAGGTTTTCTTCATGGTGCAAAAATAATAATTTAACAATTATTCTTGATAAATGTAATATTATAACCTTTAGTGAATTGAAAAATCCAGTTCTTTTTAGCTATTGCTTGAACTCTGAGAGGTTAGAGAGGCGGAATCTAGTAAAAGATCTTGGAGTCTGGCTAGATTCTGAGCTCGCTTTTACACATCATATTAATGTCACTACTAACAGCGCTATACGCCTTCTTCGTTTCGTTTTTAGAACTTTAAGAGGTTTTGATAATATTTTCACCTTCAAGGAGTTGTACTGTGCGCTTGTCCGATCAATTCTTGAGTACGCAAGTTGTGCATGGCATCCACATTACTTGATACATAAAGAAAAATTAGAAAGAGTTCAGAGAAAGTTTCTAAGAGGAATAGGTTTTAGATTGGGTATGTCATATGAGGAGATACCTAAACTGTGATGAGATTATGAGACTATTAAATTTGCCATCTTTAGAACATAGAGGAATATCCTTTAACAATCAATATTATATAAAATTATTAACAACTTTATAGACGCACCAGATCTTCTTGCAGCTGTTGGACTTCATATTTCTCCTGTTAATGCGAGAACCAGCTATCTTTTCAGTATTGATTTTCATAGGACAAACTATGGAGCGAACTCTCCATTGAGTAGGATGTGTAGGTTGACAAATGATGTATTAGCTAGAAATCACAATATTGACATATTTGAAGACTCTCTAAGTAGATTTAATGAGAAAGTAAGACAAATTGTACCTATACAATTAATCCACCATTTTGTAATTTTGTAATCTTGTTATACTGTAAACTTGTATTTTAATGTCTAGTATCACCGTTTATTGTTATTTTAAATTATTTATTTTTGACTACTGTTTATCATGTCCCAGCTTTTGATGTGCTCATTTATTTTATTGTAATTGCTAAATGCGTTAAAAAAAAAATTGATTTTGAACACCAACAGAGAAAGTAAAATTCTATAAACTTCTATAAGACAATAAAACAAAATGAAATTTTATTTTGGTAGCTAACCAAAATAAAAGAAATCAAACTACAAATCGAACAACAGACAACTCTCGAAGAAGGAAATCAGAAAAGCCAATGACAACTATTATTACAAACCGATTGAAGATACAATAAGAGAAAACTGTGACAAGAAAGTAATAAAAACAAAAAACTCAAGAGCAGAACAAGAATGATAAAAATAAAAAACGAGAGAAAAGTGACCATCCAAGGCAGAAAGGAAATAAACAAAGCCATAGAAAAATTCTATACAAAGCGATACTACCCACACACACAAAAACAACAGCGAACTGAAACAACTATATTTAACATAGGCTCAGAGGAAATACCAGAAATCATGAACTTCGAAATGAGAATGATACTCAACCAATTAAAAAACAATAAATGTGCAGAAGAGGACAGAATAACAGTGGAGATGCTGAAAATTGGCAGAAGAAAACTAGAGCAAATATTGAAGATTCTATTAAAAAAAATTGACGAAGAAGGAATATCACTAAGAGAGAATATAAAAAGCACCCAGATAAGACGCAAAACGAAAGTCAGGTACATCGTGGAGGAGGTAGGACTGTCAGATACGTTGACTACATCCTGGAGAGGAGAGAACAAGAAGTAAATACCTATGGGGAGACCTCAAAAAAGATGGTTGGAGAGTGGATTGACACAGGTTCGATTTTTGGTTTGGCTTTCTCATACGTCGCTTCGATTTCTGGGGCTTTGAAGCTTCGATGCTATACTTGATGGATTGGGTATAAAAAAAAGTATTCTCTTTACATTTATATCCATGATCCAAAATTTCTTGAAATTGGACGTCAAAATACGTAGGTATGCGTTGAAATAATTAATAAGGCTTGTGAACTTTTTTCTGAAATATGGCAGCTTTTATTCATAATTTTGCTGTTGTGGAACATGTTTTTTTCATATTCATGTAGGATGTAGGATTTAATTAAATTTGTTAAGTGAGACAACAGGTATATCCATAAAACTACACTAGGTATCTACAGTGTTCCAATTTTTTTTCTTTTATTTATTACTAGCTGACCCGGCGAACTTCGTAGCGCCTCTGAATTATTAAATACCTATTAAATGTTGTGTTAACGTATCTATTAGCTGAATTAAATTCAGTTTTTTTTTTCCGATGGTGAATTTGGCTTTGGTTGAAGAATATTAATGTTTACTCTCTAGATCAGAAGTCACCTAAAATTAAAATTTAACATCATCCCTTTCAAGGCAGCTTGTGGGCATTTTTCTTGTGAAGTGTACCACCAAATAAATAAACTTAGGCACAGGAATGTTCAAAGAATGTAAAGAAAACAAAAAAAAATCTACAGCGCAGCCCTGTATCACTCTATCTGCACTGCACTACTCCATCTGTTCTACTCTATCTGCACTATTCTATCTGATCTACTATTTCTGCATCACTCTATCTGATCAGAATAGTGGAATAGTTCTGTTCTAAATATCTCCAGTTCCTGAGCAGCATGGTTCTACTGCATCTGCAATGAAATTACCGCGCATCGGTGAGCTTCGTTCTAGGTATCATATATGGCGCCGTATACAAAATGGTTGTGGCGGACTCATAACCTGGCTCTCTGCCACTCGACACCAGCCGGACGGAGCACTCCGAACAGTCGGCACGGAACACGGCTGTCAAGGGATGCCTGAGAGGAGAAACGGAACTTAGCCACAGAACGTCAATGGTCAAGCGTCAAGAAATGACAGGGAGACCAGTTCGCGCTCTTTCGGAATGAACGAACCAACAACAAAATAAAATACACAATTAAAACATTGTCATTCTATTTATTTTTGGACATTTTTACTGTGAAGAACAATTAAAAATAAAGTGCTTTCCTCAAATTGTTTTTGTGGAAAGTGTGTGACAATAAAATCCACATGGTTTGCAATGAAAATGTGACGGTAAACTTGGTATCGGTTATAAGAGATGGCGCCGTATGCGGGCTTAGTGAGTTTTTTTCATAAATAAGTAAAATAGATAAAAAAAAAATTGTTTTTTTTTTGGATTTTTTCGATTTATTATGTTAGGATGGACCACGGATGGACAAAGACAAATCGAATAAAGCAAAAATCATAAAAATCAGTTCAGCCGTTCTCGAGTTATAAGCGCTTCCACACCAACACAACTGTGTTTTATATACAGGGTGTCCCAAAAAGTTACCGACAAACTTTAAGGGGTAGTAGAGGACATCAAAATAAGCATTTTTGTTTATATAAACATATGTCCGCAAATGAGCCATTTGGGCTGTAGAGCAAAAAAACTGTTTGATACTTTTATTCTTTGCAATAATTAAATCACTGTTTACTTATTAATTTTGCTTTATTATCAAATAAATTATGGTTTACAATAATTGTTCAAAATGTTGACCATTTACTTCAATGCAAAGATTACACCGTCGGGTCATTGACTGAAAAGTTTAGTCTACGAAACACCTGTTCGTAATGAGGAAGATCTGATAGCAAGGATACTGGCGAGTTGTACCCATGTAGAAGCCATTCCCGGAATATTCCAAAGAGTTCGCGAATTGAACAATTATTGTAAACCATAATTTATTTGCTATTAAAGCAAAATTAATAAGTAAACAACGATTTAATTATTGCGAACAATAAAACTAGATACCAAACAGTTTTTTTGCTCTACAGCCCAAATGGCTCATTTGCGGACATATGTTTATATAAACAAAAATGCTTGTTTTGATGTCCCCTACTACCCCTTAAAGTTTGTCGGTATCTTTTTGGGACACCCTGTATATAGATTAACTCCGAAAAATACGAAAGTTAGGTAGGTAGTAATCCGATATTTTATTCAAAGTCCAATAAAAACATCCTACATGTCTTTGAGGAGTGCATCACTGCACACTGGATTTTATCATCTCTTAAAGCAATATTCTTCTATGCATAAAAGTTGTTTTGCCTCTTTTTGCAGGAAATTTCCTAAGCTATAAGTTTGATTGATAAATATTTTTTTTGAAAATATTTGCTGTTTGTGGTGACCCGTGGTCTCGCGAATAATCTCTAGCGGCATTCGGATTAATGGAACTTTTTGAACAACAATATCAGACTTAATACCAATACTAAAGTCCAGATTTACGGAAACTTTTACGGAGTTGAGCCTTTGTAAATTTTTTTTAATGTAATACTTCAAAAATTATTATAAAATATGAAATTATCTAATTTTTTACAGTCTGCTTGTCGCCGGAATGAAACTATACAAGGATTCCCTATAACAACAACAACACTGATACCTATATTCCATTTATCAATAACCTTTCACAGTTCATTACAATATTTTATCCTTTTTGTCTATATTTGCCTCTGGTAACAACTATCTCTAAGATAATGCATGAAAGCATGTGTCAGTCATCATTATTTGCTGATAAATTAAAAATTTCTCACATTTAAAATGATGTAAATAAATATTCCACAACTTGCCTAATGGTCTCTCTTTAGCGGAAATACTCCAGCGATATAACTATCAGCCCCACATAGTCTAAACATTAGATATTCTTATATGTGTCATTTTTTATCATTAATCATTACAAATAAAAATAGTAGTAAAGTTCAGTGATGGGGGGTGATATGCCACTTATAATATAATAATGCTTTATTTTGATTGTGGCTTATGAAATACAATGCAGGTTGCAATATCGTCTTGTGTATTTTTAAAAGACAATTATTATTATGTGTCCAGAGGTTGTTTGAGTTTGAGAAGCAACTGAAGCAAGGTTTGCTTGACAATAATATATCTAAAAAGAAAAAGAAATAATAACCTTTGGGGTAGTTTAAAACTCGATGTATGTACAACTATGCAAAATATAGTCTTATAGCATTTTTTATACTTTAATTAAGTTTTCTTCTATTATTCAGGAACCGAAACCACCCAAAATTTCTAACCCAACCAAAAACGACGAAAAACAACGACTACTGGAATCTGAACATCATGCCGTTGAGTCCATGGTCGATATGGGCAACGTCAATTCTGATGATGACATGCTTTGCAACCGAAACATTGAGCATCCAACCAGTAATTTCGACACAATGGTGCATTTGTTGAAAGGAAATATTGGAACCGGAATCTTAGCTATGCCAGATGCTTTTAGAAATGCTGGATGGGTAAGAATCTGATTCTAAGTAACACATTTTATATAAAAGACCTAAAAGTCAGTAGACTATCGGAAGTTTTGGTCGATAGTTGCTACTATGGATAGCGAGAAATATACAGTGTGGGGCACGAAAAATTTCCCTTCCAGGTTCTCTCAGGTGTTAGGTGATATATAATTCATAAAATCACCTTAGTGGGAAGTTTTTCGTGTATCACCATGAGGAGCAAAAAGATTTTAATAACCTGAAATAATAATACTTTTCCAATAGGTTATTGGGCTGTTTGGTACCATGACAATGGGAATAATCTGCACCCATTGCATGCACATGTTGGTAGAATGTTCAAGAGAGCTAAGTAGAAGAACCCAAACGCCTTCGTTGAACTTTTCTGAAGTTGTTGAAGCTGCTTTTAAGACTGGTCCTGAATTTTTACAGAAATATGCTAAATTGGCAAAGTAAATAATATAATCTGCCAAAAAAACTAATAGTTTATACATTTCTATTAATTTTCAGGTTGATCATAAATGTTTTTCTGTTTTTGACCCAACTTGGTTTTTGTTGCGTCTATTTCGTATTTGTGGCTGCAAATCTGCAGGAGGTAGTCAAACATTATTATGTTGATGTTCCTGTTTATTGGTGAGTACCTATCTACCTAATTTTATTATTATTAGATATTATTAGTAAGTAGTGAAAATTAGAAAAAGCAAGAGCAAAGAACAATTTTACTTGTTTATGAATCAAGTATAAATCATGTCAATAAAATAATATTTGAAAATGGGATCAACAACAAATAAACAAATATGTAGGTATATAAAAACAGATAGTGTGTGGAATAAGACAAGTAAAAGAATGAATATCGAAACACTATGGATGAACAATAAGCAATAAAGAGAAAATATATTTATAAAAGAACACAAAAAACTATGAACAAAACATACAGAAGACAACCAAAATAAATACCTAATAAGTAGGTAGGTACCTATGTTAGAAAAATATGAAGAGTGCTTTAGAAGATGGAATATGTTATATTCCAAAGTACCATTAGGAGCAAAAAATAAGACTATAAAAAAAGATAAAACAGCTTACACTCGAAGCAAGTTATGTTCAATCTTTTAACAGATTCTGGAATTTGATTATAGTACCTCAGTCCTTCTGATAAGATGCTGCGATGGCCAGTTGATTGCCGCCGTTCTTAATTTTTTATTGGATCCGGTATTGTGTTGGCTGGGATGGGACTTATTTTAGAGTGAATATTGGAAGTCTTGCAAGAATGGATGAAGATGCATGATTGCAAGATATACAGGGAGTGAATGTCCAGGATGCCATTTGGATAATATAAGTCTTTTGTTGGAAACAGAAATGGCAGCTTAAACATTTTTTTCATAGCACGATTTTGGAGATCTGACAATGGATGCAGTTTGATAAGGGAAGTATTGCTTCATATCGGAGTTAGATATAATATGTGACTATGGGAGAATGGATTAGAGAATTCTATATCATTCAACGATACATATTGGACAGATAGTCTGATATTCGACCAAGTATTCCAATTGCTGGTGTTATATTTTTACAGATATACAAGATGTGCATATTCCAAGTAAGTTTGGAATCGACAAAAAGTCCCAGGTAATTATCGCAGTTTGCACAAGTCAATGGGAGACCTCGAAAGTTTATCGTGAAGTCAGGCCAGGGCTCAAAATCTGATATAGCCTGATTTTTTTCACATTTTTAAACTAAGTTTGTGGTAACATCGCTTATCTTCTTCAAAGATAATTTTTAAGTTAGCAGACAAGGAAGAGTGTCGGTGTCAGAATTGAACTTTGGGGCACAATGTTTTCGATTTTACTTCTGATACCTTCACATTCAACATACTGATGTAGCCTACCCGTTAGATAATCCCTAAACCACAGGAGTGCTGAACCTCCAATACCAGTTTTCTCAAGCACCATTACGAGGGATTTTGTGATTCTCTGTAACAAAAGCTTTCCTTAAGTCCAACGAGACTATTTTCTGAATCCATATTGACCCGCATACCAAAAATGTATTCCATCCAAATAACTGGTTAATCTCATATTTACACAGGTCTCTAATACCTTTTGACATAGATGGAAGTAAGGAAATGGGCCTGTACCTAGTTGTTTATTTCTGTGCTAGGTATCACCCTTTAAACAAAGGGACAACTTTTGCCATTTTAAACAGTTGTAGCTAAACGCCCCACACACTTTATTTAATTAGTTAGATGGTAAATGGCGAGCGGTATATTGATGGTGTTTATATACTTGGAGTTGCTATCTAATCTGTGGAAGGGTCTATTTGCAAGAGAGAGAAACAAACTAATGAGGTGTACTAAATTATATTTTATTATACATAAAACCCAAAAATCAGCCAATTATCTTCCAATCCTTTACATCCTTATTTATTTCTTTAAAATCAATTACTTCACATCCGTTCTAGATTGTTATTATTACGGAACACTGAAATATCCCTACTAAATAAGAAACGCCCTATTCCTACTATTTCTCATACTTATAATTTAACTCATTTCCTACATCCGGATCATTCCTAATAACTACCCTTTACCTAATTAAATAATTCTTTAAAATCTCTAAGTCCTTTACTGATTACTTATGAAAACCCAAAATAATTACCTATTTGTTTATCAACTAATATATTCTCATAAAACCTTACAATAAATTTTACTTGAAAAATAAATACCCTAATTCAAAATTCATTTCATGAACAATAAAGTTCCTTTAACAACTTTCCCATATTTTAAGACAATTCTAATTCATGAACTTCAAGTTTCTTTTCAAAATTTTCTATTCCCTTTAATAGTTTATTTAATCAGAACAAATTCTATTATAAGTTTCCTCTAACAACTTTCCAATATTTTAAGACAATTCTATTTCATGAACAAGTTTCTTTTCGAAACATCCTATTTCCATTTAATTAGTTTATTTAATCAGAACAAATTCTATTGTAAGTTTCCTTTAACAATTTTCCAATATTTTATGACAATTCTATTTTTCAAGATTTCCTATTCCATTTAATTAGAACAATTACAAATTCTCGCCATCCTGGCTAACATACAAAAATTATTTAAATTCTTATGAGTTCGTTATTATAGCCCTTAATTTTCAATTGGACAATCCAGTTCAAACTCCTTTAATAATCCCTACTCAAATCGAAACTATTTATGTTCTGTCAAATGCATTATAAATTCCCTTCATACTTTCTTTGCACAATTAAATGTCATTATATCTGAAGGCAATTAAAGTTATGCAATAATGTTCCATTTATAAAACACTCGAGTTATTAATTTTAATGTAATAAAGTTCCACAGTGATTAAAAGTCAAAAGTTTTTCTAGTAAAATTCACACAAAGTCATGTTCATCATTCAAAAATAAATCTTGTCACTATAGAGTACTTACATTTTGTCCATAAAACATAAAACTAATCTAATTTAATTCTTTTGATTACTTAGAGCCCGCACATAATTATTGAACGAATTTCAAATGTTTTTACTTTATTTCAAAACTTTCCGCTACTTTTTCTAAGTTAAAATCGAACGCGTTTCCCGAGGCAGCTTCGCTTATTTTCAACCGGACAAATTCATTTGGTTCTGTAGACTTTACTCAACTGGACTGTTAACTGGCAACTGTCTTCTCCTTCTTAAAACGCAGTATTTATATAAAATCGTTCTCCCCAAATTTCAGTGTCCATGACAATTAAAATGATGCAATTTCCCTGGAATTTTATATCATTTTTAGCCTGAAAACGATTAATTATGTCGCAATATTCTGATTTATTAAGGTCAAAACGTTATGGGTTCAAGAATGCCATATATCATTCGAATTAATTAGATACGCATGGCCTTCGCTAACAAAACAAGTTCATTGATCGGGTTTTAGGATGACATCACGCTGGGTGTCGAGATACGTTAGCGTTAATTTGTTTCATTTTTAATTTATCGATACTAATTTAAGAATACCGGAATAAGGTTTTTGATTATTTGATAAAATTTAATTTTTACAGTAAAGACTTTGTAATTATCGGGTCAAATTTCTGGATCATCACACAGTCTTGGTACGGATGCAGTATTAAATACAAGATTTATCAACTTACATAAAGTAGGCGATATCTCATTTTAAAATTCCTTGGTTGTATCAATGCCCAAACTGTCAGTTCCAGGTGATTTCCTTTGTTTATAACTGCAGTGAACTCGATCCTGTGCTGCAGTCACAGGTTCCCATTGATTTATATAGGGTCTGTTCGCACAGAAATCACAAACCAGTCAGAGTGAATTTCATTGGTTGAAACTAGTTTTCTGACTGTTTCTGACTGTTTTCTAACCAATGAAATTCGCTCTGACTGGTTTGTGATTTAAATTGTTCAAATAAGTAAGCACTGTGTGGAAACATTTTATGTCGTTAATAGTGAAAATCCCGCCACCTCATCAATTCAAAGTGTCTCACATTATATCAAGGAGCACTTTTAGAACGAAATCTATTTCTATATTGTCTATTATGCAAGTTGTTATCAAAGGAACGTATTATTTGATCACATAGGTAATACATTTGGATTACACCAGTTTAGCAAGGACGCGTTTAGGCATGGTGCTGCCCTATCCACCATGCTTTTTCCGCCCCCCTAAAGAAATAAATAAATATGTTTATTTTAAACCATATATGTAATTCCACATTTCTTACTGGTTTGAAAATGTCATAGTACATATAAAACGCTTTCTTCCCTGAATGTTTCTCAGTAAAATTAATAATCACATCGTCATAATATATATTTCTTGTTATGTCGGATTCCAAAGACAAAATGAATAGGGCGTTTAGGCGTTATTGTTTCACAGTCGATCTGAAATTACTTCTAATTCCTGATAACTTTGAAAATAATCTGAGAACAAGTATTTTTCGTCGATTTTAATCTGATACTCGGAGGGAATGTGAGCTGGTGGCTCCCTACATTAGCACGCCAATGGTTACCTGACGTCACAACTGTTTTTGCCATATGAAACATCCCCTCGCTCTTCATACCGCAAGTATCAGTTAAAAATCGACGAACAATATCAGCGACTGGTATTGACAAATAAGTAAACTCGTAACCCGACGTTGAAATTGGGAAATGCTTTCGCTAATCCATTTTTTCTTAAATATTTGCTCACTTCCTCTGGGAATTTAATTTCAGTCTCATCTTTCAAATGCTCATTTAGATGAAATGAATACATTCGTCAGGAAATGAGACGTCTAAATTTATTTTGTAAATTTCTATAAGCTTCCAAGCATTCCAATTATTTTTGTTTGTTTGTCAGAACCTAAATTCACACATAGATAAGTTAGAAAGCCTTTGGCGATGTTCTAGATCTCTGATAAAGCCGGGTTGAGAAAGTCCAATAACTGCTTGGTCCAAGGGTGCTTGGATGACAACTTGAACCAAGTAAGTTGTCAGTCAGCCTACTTAGTTGGATATTAAAACCCATCCAACTGGACTTGCAAGTATCGGGCAAGTAAGGCGTGCGCAGCGTCCCAAGGGCACTAAGTACACTTGAACCGTGTCGACCTGGCTTCAAGCTTGGTTGACACAGTCCAAGTGTACTTGGATCAAGTATCCTTGGACGCTGCGCGTG